CGAATTCAACTGCTTGACATAAAACCTATATGACTAAACCTATTAAGAGTTTTAGTGATATAACGATTATTAAAAAAATTTCATTAAATATAATTAAAAAAATTGGTAGTCTTTCTTTGGTCAATATATAATCAAGGCTCCTAAAACAATTTATTTATATATTTGGGGTTCCTTCAAAAGATGTTCGATGATTTAGAGTTCCGTAGCCACAAAAAAATGGGAAACGCGGATTTATAAATTAAAAAGCTGACTAAACGCTGATTACGTTGAGAAGAGAAACAGTGAAACTTCCCTTGGTTAGCCTACTGGCTAAAGGATTCTAATCCATGATCCGTCTACCACTGAGGATATTTTACGTCAGCACCATGGTCGGTGCGAACTGGGAGCAGAAATCGTTTCAACCAGCCACTGCTTTGATTCGAACCTGTTCCAACTCATTGAAAGGCGGATTTTACTGATAAAAATTCTTTTTGTAGTGTATGAGAACAATAGTAACTTGCACTAACCAAATAGTGCCAGCACCCTTTTAAAAGGGCGGTTTCAACTTATAAAAATAGGAAAAGTGGTAGCACAAGTGTTTTATTATTGGCTAAAATTTCCCAGAAACAAGGTATTTCAGTCTACCATATGTATGTTAATAATATAAATATTTTTATTTGAATCTGAAGTCACGGCACAAAGTTTTATTAAAGCTAAGGTGGTTAGTAACAGCAAGAGGTTTTGAGTTCCATCACCACCGGAAAAAAAATCTCCCCGTGCAGTAAATGGTGACTGGTGCACGTTAAATATGGTAGGTCACAAAGTCCTCCCAGTTCCCATAACAAATCATACCTCTTTGAGTACTGAATTGGAGATTGGTCGTTCTCTGGTTCAGATCGAAATTACGATCTATAGATGAATGAATGGGTCCGCCCTATAAACGGGCTGTGACGTCTATGCGGTTGAAGCCGTATATTCTTGGTCATGAGTGGCGCCCTTGAAAAAAAAAAGAAACGCACCGTCTGCCTTAAATTCACTCTGTTTCACCAAGCAGGTTCGCTTTTTGGCAAGTGGCATTAGAAACAACAAGATATATCTATGTGGTATAAACAAATATGAGATACTTATTTTTGAGGTGTGTTTTGCATATTTTGACAACTTTTTGTATGCTGGCCATTAATGAGTTAACCCTTTGACGCTGAAATTTTATTAGCTATATTTTTCATAATTTGTTCATTATTTGTATTAATTTAGATCAAAATAAGTGAAAAATATTATATTTAGCATTTTAATGTTATAAAATACGACATAAAACACCGGTGTCTTTTTCTGTGGTTAAGATATAATCGTCCAAACAAGACTCACTTCCAAACAATAATTTTTCAAATTTGCACTTGTTATTCATATTTGTACTTGTTATTCAAATTTGTACTTATTTTTCAAATTGTTATTCATCATTGAAATTTCTTTAATTTGCGAAATCAATTATTGATAAATTTTCATGAATGAAACATGAATGAAGAAAGATTTTCAAGCAACTTTTTTTGGATTTTATATTTCAGTACAAATATAATTCCGATAATCTAACAGAGTTTTCTCACTAAAAATTAGATTATTGTTTAAAATGAAAAATACCAAAATATAATTTTGCTTGTAATTAAAACATTAGAATAAGAGCATGTAAAAGGTACACTGGTGTTTCATCTGCGTCAAATGGTTAACATCGATCATAGAACTCCAGCTGAAATTAGAACAATAAATTCGACTTGTAGTGGTCAGACAATGATTAAAATGTGCTTTGTCCTCCTACACAAAATTCAAGTAGAGATGTGAACACCCTAGCTCGTAGAAAAGTAGTCGAAATTTTAATTGCAAAGTACCATAATCTGTAGAAACATAAAAATGAATAAATAAAAATGTACTTATCAGTATAATTATTCATTCTAGCATTCATTTTCGCCTCTCCTCTTTCGTTTGTATGTTGTCTGTCGCTATCCGGTTCCTGGTTCCTTAAATATATAGACTCTCGATGTCTGATAATATAGCCGACGCCAAAACTAGCTTCCTTCAAATAGTTACCCTGCACTAAGAAGACGATATACACAGCAACCGGATATCCCACCGGACTCACGACCTTCCGCTCTTAACTGTATCTATTCGTACCAATCACAAAGAAAAAGTACTCTTTATGACTATGATACTTCACATTCTTACGAAATGGATGAAGCAGTTACCATGAAAATATTGGTATTTTTTATTGTTTTTCTTTTATTATTATGTACTTTTATTTAATGCATAAAAGTACAGAAAAAAGAAATCGAAGGAGAAAAAAGAAAAAACTAAATTTTTTTTATTGTATTTTCTTCGTTGTTTATAATTATTATTATTTTTTATGATGTTGAAAAACTGCTACTAAAACTGTTTTATAACCTGTTCTTATGTAATGTTCAAAATATTATAGACAATAATATTTTCAATAAAAAATAATTTAAAAAAATACTATCCGGACTACTACTACTGTTATCATTATTATTATTATTATTATTATTATTATTATTATTATTATTATTATTATTATTATTATTATTATTATTATAATTATTTATTTATTTATTTATTTATTGACCGACCTGCGTAGGGGTCAGGAAACTGGCCTTGCATCAGAAAGGTTCTAGGTTCGAGTCTCGGGCAAGGCAAGGGAGTTTTTTCATTCTCTGTACTAACTGTCCTGTCCTTACTGTGGGAGCAACGTTGGCCCACCTAATATAGCGCCCCTGAAATAGTGGCCAACAAATCTGCCCTTCAGATACCTGTATGACGAAAGGTCATACCTCAGGTGAGCATTGGAAAAGAAAAAAATACATTATTTATTTTTTGAGATTGCAAATAAAAAATATGTGTAGTATTTGAAATTTGATTGCATTTACAAGTTGAACAATGATTAAAATTTCGGTTGCATGATTACTATCATTATTTAATAAAAGTTCAAAATAATTATATAGCCATAATGTATAACATAATTTTAAGTTATTTTTATTTAAATTTTTTCATTAAATTGAGAAAAAAATATAACTAAGTAGAATCGAAACAAGATAACGAAATGTATTTCACATATTAAAATTCGCAATTTAAAATCAAAAGATATCTTACAGAGTGCAGATGCTTGTTTATTAAATTGGATTCACTTTTCCAAAAAATTTACATTATTTTAGTTGAATACACTTATTCCTTTCAGTGTAATAAATTCATGCCATGCGTTCGTAAATACATTCTGAACATACTAAAAGAATTAGATCAACTGAAAAATAAATTGATAAGAAAGCTTTTATTGATATCAAATTTCAAATATTCAACTGAGTTGAAAAGCAGAAATTTCGAAATAAATTAAAAATTCATAAAATAAGTAGACTCCATCTAATTGAAAGCAAGTTTCATTAACTCTTTTATTTATTCTGCCTCTTCAAAATATTTGCATAATAAGTATTTCTATTTCGCATAAAATGAATAAATTACACTAAATAAACTGAAAATGCAGTTCTCCAAAAACTGAATGTCTAATTGTTTATATGAAGCAAAAGGAAAACCATTAATGTAATCATGCGTTTTAAAAGAGGCACAGATCTCATTTTCAAATCTAATTTTAGGTAATTGCATTTTCCAGTTTTTGAATTTCGTTGGGGTTTTATTCAGGTAAAAACGTGCTTTATTATAATGACTAATTAGACAAAGTATACAAATAATTTGCATTAGCGTGTACCATTTCCATTAACATTCAAACAATCAAACTGATCTCAAAGATTAAATTTAATGAATTTTCCATAAATTTTTCATATAATTTATAGTAACAATCTGATTTCTCCTTTCGGTTATGAATAAAACATAAACATTTAAAAGAGAAGTGTTGTCCAAAAGGAACATACAACATACTTTGTGCTACATAGACTAAAGCTAAAAAAAGGGAGGAGGATTTTTTTTCTTTTACTTTATTTTTTTAAATTTTTTTTTTATAACCATCGTAGAACAGCTTACCCATTTTTCTGTGTTTACGACAACTAATGTTCAACTCCATAGCCTTGTAATTTTGAACACTATCCAGAAGACTAGGGAACTCCTGGATCAGGTATTGGGAAAAATTTGCCATCGTGAAGGGCTTTTTGATGGAGCTAACCCGCATTTGCATTACATCGAGAGGAAAACCAAGAAAACGATTGGGAATCGAATACCTTATCCCCTGAGTCACCACTACTCCTTCGCAATAATTGTTGTTTCTTAGAAAAAGTTTTTTCTGCCAAAAGTGAAATTATTCACTTTGAATGTATGTACTGAAAATAATTATGTTGGATTACACTTGTGCTCCCTCTAACCACGTCCTAATATTTCCCGTATGATGATTCTATTACGGTCTATCAGTGAACATAGGTAATTTTTCTAAATAATCATTTTTAAAAAAAAGCGTTTAAAATTAAAAGTATGTTGTTATTACAAATTTGGTGAGTTCTCAACTCGTTTCAACTTTTTCTCAAACTCATTTTTTCTTTTAAAGATTTCGCTTTTAAGTTTACTACATAATATACAAACGCATCTTTCCTAACTATTCCATAACTATTCACAGGACTTAATAATATGTTGTAATATTTTCTTTCTCTTTTTTTTTAAAAAAAAAAATGCGATGTTGTTGAAGAGATGCTGCAACTTACTGAAACTCTACAATTATTCAAAGAACTCACGATTTCAAATAATCTATGTTCATCTTCGCTTTGTAATAATTTTTAAAAAATGCAACTGTTAAAACTAAAAGAAAAAAATAATAATAATATGAATGGACTTGATATGATCAACTTGTTCCGCTTTGTAGGGAAATGTTAACTCTTACCGCAATAGTCAGTATACGGAATACCAAGGGCAATGGTACTTAACCTTACAAAAGTCTGTGTTAGGCATACTGGGCAGTGGCACTTAACCTTACAAAAGTCTGTGTTAGGCATACTGGACAGTGGCACTTACCCTTACAAAAGTCTGTGTTAGGCATACTGGACAATGGCATATAACCTTACAAAAGTCTGTGTTAGGCATACTGGGCAGTGGCACTTAACTTTAAGAAAATAAAAATAACAAAACACACATATATATCGGGGATACTGGGCAATGGCACACACATCCCTTGATTAATCGGGTTAGTAAAATTACTAAAACAGGGATTATTATTGATTGATTATTATATTTGGTTAGGCGGGAAAAAATTAATCATCCTTAAAGCAAGAAAAGCAATGTTTTTAATTGGTAGAAAAATTCATATTTTAAATTTTGGTTTTGGATTAGTAAATTTCATTTTGAGTTATTTAGTCTACCAATTCATGTAACTAAAATTTATTTACAAAGAGCCATTTTGTACAATTCATACCAGGGCGAAGTCTTTGAATCATTTTCAGAACTAGCCAAAATTAATTTTTTTTAAAAATTGTGTCAAATTTTCGGCCGCTTTATAAAATTAATGGCCAAAAGTTGAGCCGTTGGCATCCCTATGAATATCATGCACACGAAATACATTTACTTAACTATTAACAAAGTGTTTTAACGATATTCTTAATTAATTTTTTCATCTTAATTACTGCAAGTATAAATATTGTATATCGGAATAAATACATTGACTTAAACAAGCACCGGTTTCCTAAATATATTTTTCACTATGAGACTCACGATTCACTTGTGAAACTTTGAAAATGATTAATATATCGCTATATAATTTCACGACGTACAAATTCTATTTCTGCGACACAGCCAGTAATTCTATGATGGGTTTTTTTTTTTTTTTTTTTTAAAAAACTATTAGTTTTTATTTTGGCTATTGCAGTAAGGAGTCAATTTTTTTTAACCACATTACGCAATTTTCGTTGGCAATTTTCTTTATTTCTGTCTAAACAGAAATCGGTTCTAGTGTAAAATCGGAGCACCTTGGTTTGGTGATAATTTTCGTTCAGTTTAGCTGAAATCCCATTTCTGATTACCATGATATATTTTGCGGTCTTTGCTTTTTATGACGTCACCTTCGGGTAACCGCAACTTTTGTTTACCATTATGCTATTGGTTTTTGATTTATTTCTATACATATTCGTTTATTTGCAAATCGCCAAAGATAAGAAGGGCCCACGATTGTAAACTAATACCCAAAAATCGATACCTCTTGTATAAATTGAAAATATTTCATTTATGAACAAAATATTGTCCTTTGTCGACACTGAAAATGTTTTAATTGTCTCAACTAATCTCGTTTACGTGATATAGACTTTTTCCTAAATTTGCAACTAATCAATTTTATTTAATTTTATTACATGATTTTTCTCTTAAAGTGCATTTTAACGATAGTACACAATAACAAAAATAATATATTTCTACTCTTCATTAGCTTAAATTTAATCTATGAAGTTTAAATGTAAGTGCTATAAAAATTATCAATATTTGTTACTTTTCGGTAAGCCAGGCGCAAGGAAATTCAAATATATTTTTATTGCATTGATTTAATTTATTTCATTTTCATGTGTTTAAAGAATAAAAAAAAAGCTTGCAGAGATCTACATTTTTGGCGATTTTTCGGTTGAAACCGGCGAACCGAAAAGTACCCATTTTGTCATTACAGTATTAATACAATGTTTCTCTTAATTAGATAAAATTATAAATTAAATAATTGTAATAATTTATTTTATGAAACTTAATGACTATATAAATTTACAAGGATAAGATATTTTCTTTGCTGTTAATTATATTATTACACTTTATATAATTCTAAGTAATAAGGTAAGTCAATTTTAAACTTTTTTTAAATTATTTCTTTTGCGTTTAAGGGAAAACACAACATTAGTTCGCCAAGATTTCATTTCCGAGGTCTTCTTGCACTTTTTCTATTAGATTTAGTCGATGTCTTAGATGGTTTGTACTTTTTTGCCTTGGAAACCTTCATGGATTTTGCTGGTCTTTTGTAACCACGGACGGGCTTTTTCGATTTATTTTGACTTTTTTTACTCTGAGTAATTTTTCTATTGGCTTTAATGCTACCACGACCAGGCCTCTCAATTTTAGATGGTCTTTTCTTAGTACGAGTCATTTTACTGTTGGCTTTAATGTTACCACGAACAGGCTTTTCCATTTTAGATAGTCTTTTCTTAGTACGAGTCATTTTGCCGATGTCGCGTTGAGTAGACTTTTTCGATTTAGCAAGGTGCTTTTTCACCCGAATCCTTTTGTCGCTGTCTTTCTGAGTTGATCTATCCAATTTAGCAAGACTCTTTTTAACTCGAATCATTTTGCCGCTGTCTCCTTGATCAGACTTTTCCGATTCAGCAAGGATTTTTCTGACTGGAGTAATTTTTTCGCTTTCTTTTCGATTTGGACTTACCGGTTTAGCATGGCGCTTTTTAACTCGAATCATTTTGCCGCTGTCTCCTTGATCAGACTTTTCCGATTCAGCAAGGATTTGTCTAATCGAAGTCATTTTTTCGCTTTCTTTTCGATTCGGACTTCTCGATTTAGCATGGCGCTTTTTAACTCGAATTATTTTGCCGCTGTCTCCTTGATCAGACTTTTCCGATTCAGCTAGGATCTTTCTAACCGGAGTCATTCTGTCGCTGTCTTTTCTATTTGGACTTTCCGATTTAGCAGGGCTCTTTTTAACTCGAATCATTTTGCCATTGTCTCCTCGATCAAACCGTTCCGATTTAGCAGGTCTTTTTTTAACCGGACTCATTTGATTGTTTTCTCCTCGATTAGGCATATCCAATACAGCAGGGCTCTTTTTAACCCGAATCATTTTGACATTGTCTCCTCGATCAGGCGTATCTGATTTAACTCGGATCTTTTTAACGGGAGTCAATTTGTCGCCGTCTCCTCCATTAAGCTTTTTCAGTTTAGCAGGACTTTTTTTAACCCGAATCATTTTTCCTCTGTCTCCTCGATCAAGATTTTCAGCTTTAGCAGGGCTTTTTTTACTCTGATTCATTTCATTGCTGTAATTACTGTTTAAAGACAGAGCATCAAAACATGGATCTTCCGTTTCCATGGAAGCCGCTGGAGTGTTTCTTGACTCATCATCTGAATTATCTCTAGAACCAATTTCGTCTTTTTGCGTTTCCATTTCCATATTCGTTTGCGTTTAAACTATTATGATTATTATTATATTTTAAATTTAGTAAAGCGATTATTAAAAATCAAGAATGGCGAAGAAATTTGTAGTTTAAATAAGATAAAAATCATAAAAATCTCGTGTAGAATTGCTTTATGTGCTATGACACTTATACACGAGACTAAAATTCATTTTTTTTAAAAAATAAAAACACTTATGACAACATGTATGTTAGCATCTTTCTCAAGTTGACTCCAAAATAATCTTACTCAACTGATCGCCGATGTCAACAACGAATTCGTTCTTAGATGGAATTTTGAAAATCTACACGCAGTTTTACGTCTATTGGCGTCTGTTTTACGTAAAGTTTCTCCGTAACAGTCACCCGAAAAGCTGTTTATTTGAATGTTCGATGAATTAAAAAAAATAATGACATTTATATTCGTATAAATAAAATAAAAATCAAGTATACTAAGGAAATTCGTATTTTTATTAGACCTAAAGCGAAAACTATAAGGCACATCACTTTCGAAAAACGTTAGGAGGAATCTTTGGTGGTACTTTAAACAATGTAAGTGATGAGCTGCTTGACTACTGAAGATCTGCTAATAACTGTTCTGTAATATGTTACTGGGCTACTGTGAACTTCCTAACCATTATTAGCAATGAGAATAATTGTTAGGAAGTTCCGACTAAGTGGAATAAGTGGAAAGTTAGAAATGAGTGGATACGTGCACAGATTGCAAAAGCAATTCACAAAATATTATTAAGTATTTGTTACTTACTAATTAGCGGGATAATAAAAATGCTATTTCAAGTTTGGAGAAGTTATTCCCTAACCTAAAAAATAAATAAATATGTCGCTGTCATTAAAGAAAAAAGCTTACCGTTTGTATTCTTTCGACACCTCCAAAATATTTTTTTAATAATTAAAAATAGAAAATCATAAAAAATGTTTGAATCATAAATTAATTTTAAACTCAGGCATTTAAGATTTATTAGGGCAGTTTATTTTTAAACCAAACTGTTATTGTATTTTTAACCTTCTCCGTAGGGTTATTATCGCATGAGGTATTGCCAGGGCGTGAAGTAACCATGTAGTAGCTTAAAACGAATATTACAAAACGACTATAAAATATAGCCATGCATTAACTCTCTGTCTAATCCACTGTCGAGACGCCGAAGATATACGCTTGAACCGCACTCTCCACAAATTATGCTTCTATTTCTGTCTGGTGGAAAATATACATTCTATCTCTTTCCTGTTCCTTTTTCTTACGCTTATTTATTCTAAGGGGCTTTTTCTTGTTTAATGGATCGGATAGCGCGGAATAAGGAGGCTCTCTGACATCGCACATCTGAGGGGATTATTCCCGGGATTAGGCTGAAACTTCTTTTCGGCGGCCCTTTTGTCCGGAGATAATTGCATTACTTTGCTAACAAAAGCCTTTTCCTCTTCTAAATGCTATTTAGATGTGGTGTATCCTAATTACCGATTACCACTGAAATAAGCCCCCCTTTAACAAGTAATCGAGGTATTTGAAAAGGCATATATTCACTAATGGGTCGCGGCCCATTAAGATAGGATTTTTGGTTCTTTTGTCGACTGATTATAGATATTCAGATTCACTCAAATGAAAACTTTACGTCCGATAACTTTAAATTGAGAACACATGCATTGTATTTAAGATTTTGATGAATCCAGCTCAAAATTTGATTGATATTGATTCGAATACCCAAAACAACGTCAAAATTGTATCATATTTTATTTTAAACGCTTATAATAATGATCTTAATAAATTTGTTTTCCATTGTACTATCCTTAGAATGACTTTAAATAACGATATATCGGTTTTGAGAAAGATTATATTGGTTTACAACGTACGAATATGATTCAAGACTTTTTGTCAATTGGGTTGGATTCAAAATCGGGACTCTATTAGGAATAAATGTTAATTTCTCTTACCAATGTCTGAGAGATATCTTAATTAAAATTGAGTTACGTGATTAAAATGTTTGTTATGGCTCTAAGTGTGGGAACATATAATGTTCGTAGAAGGCAATGGTATTCATAATTTTCATTCGAACTTAAAATGTCTATCACAAAATAATGTGCTCACCAGTATTCCATCTGGTCAAGATATCAAGAATACAGACATAAATACTAAGGACTTCTATTGCTAACAAAACTAGATAGATAATTCAAATATCTATTAAACTATAGAATAAAAATGCTTGTATTGATTTAAATATACTCCGTGAGAAATTTCGGTTAGCGTTAAATCTCAATATCGAGCAAACTTATAACCATTGTATTACAAAAATAAATAAATAAAAATATACTGCAGTACTTTTAATGCATAAATTTAAATCATACTGTTCATAAATTTAAAATGAATACTGATACGAACGCTTGAATATCAAATCCGAAAGAGATATTGTAATAATATAAAGAAGTAGGACTCATTGTGAATCTTAAAAAATTGTGACTTTTACAAGAACTTCGTAAAATTCTTAGGCCACATAATTAAATCAGAGCATCTTTTCCCGAAGTTTAGTTAGTTTATCGTACAAATTACCTCCTAGCCTGATTACTGCATACTATAGTGCAACCTGAATTTAACACATTACTTAGGTAGGTATTAGTTAAAAAATTTCGATTTTTAAATATCTAACGCGATAGTATTGCTGCACAGGTTTTCGGTTAAGGGATTCTACTAGCCTTCTGAGCATAATCATAAACGTAAGCCTGCTACCAGTTTTCGAATCTGGTGATCATAGCTTAAAACGCATTAAAATCAAAACCAAACTAGATATAATTTTTTAAAAAAGAACTATTCTTAATGTAAAATCTCAGTATGCTTGTTGAAACAATGTAGTCATTTTTAATTACGCTTGATTATTATAGAACAACCTTTAGAGTAAAGTTTATAGAAAACGACGTTTATTTATTATAGAATAATAAAGTTCATTCAATGTCAAACTAGTTTATCGATTGATCTTCTAATTAAACTTTAAATTTGATCAGCAGCTTCTGTTTCTAAACAAAATAGGAAAGTTAAATAAATTTGTACTAATTTTACCAAATTAATTCGGATAAATTTGATATATTCATCTAATAACTAATTGTTAGAGAATAAAATGACATGTTGGAGTACTACAACGATGTTTACATTAATATTAGATAATTTAATTAAGGTTACAAACTGCTCTTCGCATAATTAATCCAATTATGTATATATTCCGAAATTGTAGGGAAAAAATTACATATTTACACAGTAAGCAACGTTAAATAGCTGAAAGCTATTTCGTCTGCCAATATGTTAAACTTCCTTTTGCAAATTTTCAGTAGCTGCAAATTAAGTTTAGAATATAATATGAAAAATATTTATGTGGGATTAATTTATTGGCTTCAACGATTATGGATAAAAAATCTAAAACACATATGAATGTCGGTAAAATCATTTGTGAACTGTTAACTTGGCACTGTCAGAGAAACTACAGTCTGAAAAAAATGCTATAAAATGCTTTAATTCCTTGATTTTTAGAATTTGGGATTGAAAATATTAGTTACGGAATACAGTTTTAATGTAATTTCTTATTATTAAGTTTTCTTAAAAAGTATTAAATTGTAGTACGATATTTTTAAAATCTTATTTATTTAGTTTATAAAATTTGTTTTGTAGCATCATGTTCCTTTTCTTGAATTTCAAAAACAAAAGTATTTTATGACATGAAGATATTGGTATTTACAATCCATAATAAAATAAAGAGTTTGTTCGACTATCTCTCTATGCGTGGTTCATATTAACTCCAGAAACGTTTACGCTAGCGTCCTGAAATTCGGACAGTGGATAAAAGGGGCATTTTAAGCCCCCGATCCTAAAAATTATTTGATTTAGATTGTTCGGAAGGGACGTTGAAAATTTGAATTTTCTCATTAGTTCAGAATTTGCTATTGATAAAAATGAAATTGCAGACGATACTTCTTTCTTTAAACATTTTAAAGAATACGCGGTATTTTTTAGCTTATAGTTACTATTGAAAAAAGGGCTTATAGTTATATATATAGCTTATAGTTTAGCTTATAGTTACTATTGCACTTTCTTAGATATTTAATATTTATTTTGTATTGGTTCTGTCAGATAAACTCAATAATTAACGTAAACAAAGAAAGACAGGCTGACAACAGCAGCAAATTAGCATTTAAAAAGTTCTCTGAAACCACGCGTTTATTTTGTTAAAAATTACGCATTGTAAAAGTGTTTCTAGAAAACTAAATAATTTAAAAATGATTTGAATTATTAAAAAAAAGCTCTCTGCAGAAAATACATGCGGAGAAATAGTACCGAATCGTTTTGAAGAAACGTAGAAAATCACTACACTATTATAGTTGTCAATGATGCTTGATTAATTTTGGTGTTAGTTACTAATTGAAATTAAAAAAAAAATAACTTATGAACATAAAAATTAATGGAGAAATAGTACCAAGTTATTTAGTAGAAGCGTAAAAAATTAACATTATATTTTTGTAAAATCACCATAAATTTTTTGATTAATTTCGGTTATAGATTCAAATTGAAATAAACCTTTTCTGTGTACTGAAAAGCAAATTTAATGGGAAAAAGATTCTTATTCGTTTGGGGGAACCGTGAAAATCACTAACTCAAATCATTGACGCCAATGATCAATTAATTAAATTTGGTAATAGTTAATAACTGAAGTAAAAAAAGTACTAATTTGGGAATGTCACTAATCTGTATTGGGACGCAAGAACTCTCATGAATCACTAACTTTACCCTTTTCATGTTAATGCTTAGAATTTTATATTGTTGAAATGTTTATTGATTCAAATGTTTATTGTTCTTTTTTGTTCACTTTGCCTAAATTGTTGAATTGTTTCTTTGTTATTTTTCTGCTCCTTTGTGATGCAATGAGCTGTCAAATTTTCTGGATTGAATTCCTAATAAAGCCATATGAAACACACACACGTTTAAGAGAGCGTAAAAAATCACAAA